GGTTCTTGTTGGCGTTTCGGTCCACATTGTAGGGGTCATCGTGCAGGGCCTCGAACCGATCCCACTCCTCGGGCAGGTCGTCAGAGGGCACCGGATCAGAAAAGGAAATCCCCGGCTGTTGGGTAGGGGACTGGGAAGAAATAAGGCAGGACTTGTGTTAAGTGAGAAATGAACATGCCAGGAGAGAACCCCGATTTAGTTTAAATAAAAGTTCTACTGAAATCAATGGAGTAGTATACGTATGAACTGAACCGTCTGATGACCTACCTTATTGATTTCGGCTAACTGTTGTGTAGAAGGGTAATTTGGTGACGCAACAGAACTCGATGCATGGTCACCGAGTGAGGAGTACTCTAAGGGGACAGCTCCGTACCGGTGGTTTCGCAGCGACCGCGGGAAGGTGAGGTGAAGTTTTCTGATAACCTCCGGACTGAGACGACAACTGCGGATCTGGTCGAAGAAAACCGACGAGCTAGTGCCGACATTGCCTTGCGGCATCCAATGCGGAGGTCTGAATTCGATAAATTCTAAATGGTGGAAAATACAAACTATAGCCTTGATTGATTACTGGGAAAGAACGGTTGTGTGCGCCTTGTACGACCAGTGGCCATTACAGGCAGAAAGTAGGCTACCTAACGCTAAATATGCCGCTCGTTCTTTTTGCAGTGACCTTTTTAGACAGAAGGTGAGCATGTATAAATCACGACAAAAGTGACTGGACGTTGCAAAAATGAAGGTACGTGGTTTGTGTGTCCCGAGTCGCATACGAAGGGGGACCGTATCTTTCTCCCTTTCGCTCAAACATCGGGCGTGTAACCAGCATTTAGCAACGAACTGAAGACAACTTCTCGACAAGGAGTAGCAGCTCTAATCCAACTGGGCGACAGAATTAATTATGTCGAAATCCTTCAAATTAGAACATATAACATGCGAACGAAGACAAAGCAGGTTCTTTCGAGGTCTTTGTCTTCTGTGAAATAGAAAGGCCATTGGAACACAACGGCTCAGTGGGTTAAAAAGTCCGCTTTTGTGTGTCATGACATGGCAATGGGTGAATAAGGGTCGTTATGGCCCCTCCGAACGACATTTTTCACGAGCAGAAAAGAAAACTGAAGCCTAAGCAAAAATCAAACACATATAGCACCTGTGCATGTGGTAGACTGTAGCCTGTGTACCGTATCGAATTACCAAGTAAGTATGAATGCTTTTTTTATTTCTTTGCTAGGATCTCTATTTTTAGAGGGAATTTGTTTGAATTTTGTATAGTAGTTTGATCGTACCCGTTGATTTTGGGTGAACCAGCTTACATTAAGGAATTACTACGTTGCATTGAGCCCAGCTTTCCATACTAGTGGATCAAGGTGAATAGGGATAGACGCAGCGACTAGTCGGGCTATTTGAAAACGCCCTGAGCGTGCCACAAACGCTTATGCTCCTAAACAAGCGAGACTTGACACCCTCCGAAATGCATTCGTAAGAACAGTCGGGGAGAACATAGCAAGGGGGCAGTGCTGTCTAGCTCCAATCAAGGGACTAACTTTCCCTCAGTTATACACCTACGCTACCAATTTTAGAGGGAGTTATACGAGTTAATTGCGATGCCCATTCAAGTCGCGCACGCATGGTCAGTACCGACTATGATGACTACGAATAAGATGGGAACCACAGCAGA